GGGGTAGATGGGGAGGGGGAGGGGCAGGGGCGCCAGAGCCCCAGTTCCTCTTCTTTCTCTCCCCACCTAAGTACTTTTATTTGCAGAGCGATTGTTCTTTGTTTATTTAATACAAGTACTGTGTGAATGGTGAAAAATAAACACGATGAAAAATAACCAAACAGATGATTCCTCCGAGTGAAAAAGCCGGGACTTAATAAAAGTGCGAAGCAGTCACCGCTGAATGAGAAACCCTTTGAAGTGGAACTTATTATAGGAGGAATACTTTGGGGTTGCCCTAACGACGCCGCTGAATCGAAAGCGCTCGCCTTTGTCAGCGATTTGTTCTCCTTTGCTGGGGTGCCCGGAGAAATTACTTACATGGGCTGCCTTAACATGCAGCTTGCAAATCAGTAACTTTGCAGCTCAGACTTGGAGACGCCACTCGACAACGGACAAAAAGAAGTCAGGGGGGAAATGCACCGAGCTTTCTCTCCGAGCCTCCGGGGATGGGGCGCACGGGCGTGTTGGGGCGGCAGATAAGAAGTTGTATTACAACTGGCCCCCCTCGCCCGAGCTCCCCACCCCTGCTCCCTCTCCCTCCGGGGCGAGTTGGGCCTGGGCCTGCGCAGGGCCGTCGAGGCTCGGGCCTTCCAGCGGGGGGCGCTCTGGGGACTTTCCCAGCGGCCCGGGCCATATTTAATAAGGGTCGTTTATCACCAAGGCCCTTTGAAGGGTCGCCTCCAGCCCTTCGCCCATTAGAAAGGCGGAGGTGACATTTAAACTCCGTTTTCAGGGATCGCGGGGGGATTTCATTGAAAAGGCAACTCGTTTGTCTTAGGAGCCTGGAAAACAACCCCCTTCTCGCTCCTTTTGACCACATGGCATAACTCAAAAACAATAGTTCAAAAGTGAAATGGCATCGTGGTGTTCACTGGGAGACAGGCCCCCGTCCAGCACCAGAGAAAGGGGTAGTCCGCAAGACAATGTGCTTTTTGTGTCTGACTCTGTCACAAGGATTGTGTTGTTTGCTTTTGGAGGCTGCGCCTGTTATACTTCCCTCAAAGTGCTTGTGTTAAACAAGAGTTATAAGTCATCCAAAACAACAAACATTTTGATTTTCTTTGCCTAAAGGGCTTTCCCTGGCTATGGGCACCGTGAAAAAATAATGTCCTTGCTTAGAAAGGAACACCAGTAGTAGCATTACAAGCGGGCGCATTAAATATTGAATGACACGGGAAAAAGAGCTTGTCGAGGGGGCACTCAGCATTACAGTCTTTCTTCAACTTTGTCTTCGGTGGCTGCTCCACTATTTAAGATGGTATTAATTAAGGCAGCTTCGGATGCCGCCGAGCCTGCCGGCTCTGGGCCGCGCTCGGTCAATGGGCCTGTGTCCCCGCGCCGCGCTCACGCGTTGGCTGAACCGAGTGCAAATGTCACTTCTCATTTGCAGGCTGAAGAGAAGGGCCCATCCTACACTGAAGGCAGCAGGGATGCAATCACGGCGGGCGTTAAAGGAATACGGGAGTGGGGGGGCTGGAGAGAGGAGGGGAGGGGAGACTGGAACAAAATGCAAACAGCTGCCCTGGGCGGGGGAGGAGAGCGCGTCCGGCCCTCGTGCACCGCTTTGGGGCACAGTTTGAAGAGAGCCACTGAGCAAACAAGCGCCACGCGGAATTCGCCGGGCTTGGAAACATCCCTTCTCTTTCGTCGCTCCTGGGTGGGGAAAAAGGAAAACCTCAGCCCTGCCAAAATCTATTAGGCAGTGTGGCGGAGCATTATTTTACAAAGGGCCTCGCTACTACAAAGACAGACAAAAGCGTGATGCAAACAGGCCTCTTCACTGACTTCCTCCTCCCCCGAAGGTCCCCTTCACAGATCACAAACAAATAAGAGCCCAAAGAATCTCAGCCAAGCAGCTCCAGATCCGAATTTACAGATGGCAAAACTGAGATCCTCAAATGAGATCCCCCCCAACAAATTTCTCTGTATGGGCTAATATTCCCGGAGAAATCAAAAGTTGAGAACCTCATTTGGACTCAAAGACCCAGGCAGAAGTGGAGTGCTGCTTAAACTTGGCCCACAACACTACCAAAAACATCCTCTACCCCTTACCCTATTCTAAGTGATTGATTCAAAATCAAGTGGTTTCAGCAGTTTGGAAATTCCTATTTTAAAAAACAGGAAAAATGAAGCCATACTGCCAAATAACTGTGGCATCATAAATGAAAAGCATGCTTCAAGAAACTTACTGCCAGTTCTGGAGGAGAAGAGACTTGGCTGGTGGAGGGTGAGGGCATCCTGGCAGATTTCTTTCTGCAGGCCAAAGCCACCTGGGCGTGCCTGTCTCGGGCGCCGGGGAGTTTCGGCTGGACCTGAACCT